TGTTTCACTTCATCACACAACGAATTCCTGTTGAAATTTCCAAATCCCAAACAATCTTGTTAATCCGGAGGCAGGGGACTTCCTCGCTAAGAAATAGCCATTCCTGAATAGATCCGCCTGTTTTTTTCTGGAAGGCACTTGCTAACCTGTAATTTTGTAAGCATTCTTGAAAACATCTACTAGGCTGGGGTACTTTTAGCGGATTTAGCAAAGAATTATACTTTCTTTCTGTAATAGGTTGTAATTCCCCAGTTATACCTTATTTCTGCGGTGTGTTGTTCCCCAATTATACCTTATTTCTATAATATATAATTTTGATGTGTTTTAGTTTTTTAATATTTTTATTTTTTAACGCCTTTATATAATTTTGACGTCTTCGAAAGGCCTGTGAGAGCATCCTAGTAACACCACTGATATGGAATACCCAAACTGATTGTTTGGGCAATCTTGATATTTTTGGTATATATTCTGTAACCTTTTTTATTTATTACCATAAGTTTTTTTAGATTACCATATTTAGACTGCTTAGTCTAGTTATCACAAATTATTTTGATATATATTTTTTAGAGCTTTATTTCTAAATTTAGTGTTTCCGCTGGTTCACTTTTAAAGTCAATTTAGGATGGGTCCACTTTCAGCACCTCAATCTTTTCAATTTAATTTGATTTTAATCGTTTTAATTTCAGTCTTTTTGCTTTTTTTAAATTTAATCTATTACTAAATTTAGCGCTTTTTCTTTTTTTTTAAAATTTAATCCCTTAATTAAATTTGGCATTTGTTAGCCCACATTATACTTTATTTTGCTCTGTTCAGGCCAAATTTTCGCTTCTGTGGTAAAGTTTTGCTCTTCATCGATTCGATTTTTTCGCTTTTTTCTTCCCTCATGAATAATTGTGGCCCGTTTTTAGGAGGTGGCCAGAGAGCTGAGTTATACTTTGCTTATTCCTCTATTCCATATTTTCCTTCGTTCCACCGAATAATTTATTGCAGGCACTAGCAGGGCTTCCTTCTTTCTCTCCAATATGCACGGGTTACCATGGTAATCGGACTTCGATTGAACTCAGTTTTCGTCCCCTTCCTTTTGAGGTTACACCGGAACCGAACAAATGTCTCTGTTCCATGTTCACGATTGGCTTACAGTGCAACTAGACGATAATGCCATTGTTTGCGCAATCGGAAAACTTATTGAGGATCGAGGTTCGTGACTCGTTTTTTTGTAAACTGGGACAGCTTTTTCCTCTGGAAAATTAAGAATTACCCAGCTCGGCGCGTGAATTTACCCGGGGATACCCATAATTTTCAAATAAAATTGAATGGTGAACGTACTCTTTTATGCTATTAAGAGGTGCTAGTCCATCAGAAAAGCCATAATTATTATCCACAATTTTACAAATTATCCTGAATTTTTAGGAGATGCTGATATAGCTAATTAAACAGCTAATCTTTTTAAAACAGGACAGCTTCCTTTTAACAAAGTCTTTATGGAGATTCAAAAGCGAAGGTAAAGGAATATCTTGGATTCCGTCGATATGGTACTTCGTGAGAGTTACCCACTGCATTCAACTTTCTGGAAATCTTGACAAATCAAAGTTCTCTTTGAGACCGGTCCAAATCTAAGTGTTGTAGAAATTTTAGAGATACAAACAATGAATATCCTTGACTAGGAGACTGGAAGAGAACGGGGATTCTGAAGTCGTCTATGTGTTAAAATATGCAGTTTGTTTGGCGTTGTTGGTCCACCACCGTAGAGAGGAACACAGCCGAATTTTGATAATTTATAAAAACGCTGACAATGCTAAAAAAAAAAACGCTGACAATGCCCAAACAAGCAAGCCTGTATGTATAGTGACTTGGTAGCCTGTCTGCGTTTTACCCTTGAGCTGTTATGAAATTCAGTTCTCATTTCTTTTAATTTGATTCAAATTTCTTTTTTGAAATTGGACGCCTCGCATTTGAGATTTACGCTTTCTGAATAATTTACCTCACTGAGAATTTCACACATCTTGACCAAAATTTTCCTCATCTCGTCCGGATCTACGCAAAAGTTTACTCATTTTCAAACCTACCATTCTCAAATTACAGATCAAATAATAGTGGGAAGTATAGCCGGTCGAATATGGGTAATCGATCCAGGACGAGTGAGCGATACAAAGCAGCAACAACAGCAGCAGCTGAGTTGTCTACTCGAGGAACAATTGCCTTATGCAATC